TGATTTTCTAATTTGCACCATTGTGTTCAGAATTTGAAGGACTTAAACAAAATACATTTTTACCAAAATCATTTGGGCTTTGAGAAAATTCTTTTTTTCATTATTTTATGGGATTTTATGGGAAAATCGCCATTAAAAATAAAAATGAAAAAATCCTGAAGATATAATGGATGGACCACTACCTATGTAGGTTTTATCAAAAAAACTATTATGTATTTTAGATAAACGATAGACTATTGCATATGAAGTAGAAAATGGACTACTAGGAACAAATAAAAAAAGTCCTTTTGTGCAATTTTGATGCACTAAAGCACATTTAAAGTTTCAATGTGATGATGTACATATATGATATTACTAAATTTCATCAAAATCGGACTACAGGTGTTGTCTGTAGCTCTGCACACATTCACACACACACAGACATCCCTTCAAAAACACCTTTTTTGGGTTCAGGGGGATCCAATACGCATATATACACTCACAAGTCAATCTCAAAAGTTTTGACAAAAACAATATTTTTTCTATATATATACAACAGGGTTAGGCAAAAGTCTGGAACCCCCCAGTTAACTTTTTAACGCGTTGCAGTAGGAAAACCAAACTCGGCACATATCTACAACATAAGAAATGCACTTTTTCATCAAAGTTACAACATTGCCCCAGCCCCCAAAATGGGGTATTTTTGGGGCAGCCCCAAATTTACGAATGTAAACACCTATCATGTGACCCCTCATTTTAAAGGGATTCTCAAGACAAATTAAATGGCTCAAACTAGAGGTCAATATCGCAACCCTAATCATGTTGGGTTAAATAATACCCCCGCCACAGCAAACCTGCAGACTTAGCGAATTTTCATTTGCCTGATTGGATTTTTAAACTAAAATGTCTCCTTAAAAATATCACATTTATTCCCTATTCAAACAGAATTAGTTTAATGAGTACTTAGGTTTGCTGCAACAGGGAGGGTAAAAAAGTTATTTTTTATGTAAAATGTTAAAAAGTACTGTGGTTTAGTAAGAAATTAATGTATATTTTCCTAATTTGATCAAAATATTTTCATAAACAAACAAACTACAAAAGTTGACTTATTCTCTATAAGAATAAGGAAATTTTAAAATTACAATTTTTTAAAATTTTCTCCGTAGCAATTAGGCGCATAATAACGCTTCAATATACTAAATTATTTGTTTTTTAAAGCTCTACAAAATGGTTTAAAAAGAAATTGTGAAATTTTGTGTTTTTAGGGTCAAAAATGGGAAAACCCAATTTTTACCCCATAAAACCCCCCATAAACTCCCGTTCCCATAGTACGATCATGCTGGTTCGTGAACTCATTCAAGTTTATCCTGCCTTACACCTTCAAACCAAATTTGATCAAAATCGGACAAAAATTACTCAAGTTATCGTGCGGATGGACACACATATATATATATATATATACGAGGGTTGTTATTTAAGTAAGGGCCGGTTGCGTGTATAGTCCCGTAGTTCGCGCGGATGCCGCAACAAGCCACCGCGCCACTTGCCGGCATCCTTCCCGTTCACACTGATGCCAGTTGCAGCTCTGTAGCTGACGTCTACGCATCGCTGTGCTACTTTATAATGTTTACGATTATTGAATCGCCCGCTGCGTGTGAGATACGGTCAGTGATACGTTTTTTGACCGCTAGAAGCCTATCAGCTGCAGAAATTCATCGTCAGTTAACAGAAGTTTTTGGCTTGAATGCAATGAGTGAAGGTAAAGTGCGACAATGGGTTAGAGAGTTTAAAAATGGCCGTCAAAACGTCCATGACGAAGAACGCTCAGGCCGGCCCTCCGTGATCACTGATGATTTGGTGGCTGCAGTCGAAACAAAGGTTCGTGAGGACAGAAGATTCACAATTTCCACTCTTTCTTTGCAATTTCCACAAGTTTCAAGATCAGTTTTGTACAAAATTGTGTCTGAAAAGCTAAACTTTAAGAAATTGTGTTCTCGGTGGGTACCCAGACTCCTCACAGAGGGCCACAAAGTGAAGAGATTTGCCACTTCATTGGACTTTTTGACTCGTTACGACGAAGAAGGGGATGACATGTTGAGTCAAATTGTCACTGGAGATGAAACGTGGGTATCTCATATCACTCCCGAAAGCAAGCGACAGTCAATGGAATGGCGACACACAACCTCACCCGTCAATGTCAAAGCCAAACAGACTCTGTCAAAGCGCAAGATTATGGCAACTGTGTTCTGGGACCGGCGCGGTGTTTTGCTAGTGGACTTTATGCCACGAGGAACGACGATCAACTCAGATGCCTACTGTACAGCTCTAAAGAAGCACCGCAGAGCAATTCAAAACAAACGGCGCGGCATGCTGACAAAAGGAGTTTTGCTCCTGCACGATAACGCTAGGCCTCACAACTCTCAAAAGACTCGGGATTTGATTGATTCTTTTGGCTGGGAAGTTTTGGACCATGCACCATACAGCACCGACCTTGCTCCTAGCGATTTTCACCTTTTCTGGTACCTGAAACACCATCTTGGCGGGCAGCGCTTCAATGACGACGATGAAGTGAAAGCGGCCGTGAACTCTTGGCTGTCGGAGCAGGTGGCCGAATTCTTTGAAGAGGGAATTAAAAACTTAGTTTTACGTTGTGACAAGTGCTTAAATAAACAAGGCAACTATATAGAAAAATAGGTAAAAGTGTGTAGAATCAGAAAATAAAAATTATTTTACAAAATTATTTGTATCTTTTGTTAAAAATAAAAACGGCCCTTACTTAAAAAACAACCCTCGTATATATATATATATCTATATATAGATATATAAAAATTTGAACGAATGGTGTTTTTGGCCTCTGGGGACATCAAAATGAAAAAGTAAATCGGTCCCGGGCCTAGGTCTTACCATGAGACCTACGGTAAGAGCTATTTCCCTATAGGGAAATTTGCTAAAAGTAAAAAATAATTTAAATAAAAAAAAATCTTTTTAAAATAAAACCTTGTTTTAAACACACTAAAAAGTAAAAAATAATTAGTTGATAAATATGTGGGGAAAACAAATACTTGTAAGATTTAAAATGAAAAACGTGGGGGACATGCAATAAACGATAATAATTTAATAGGTTAAGATAATCGTAAATTAGCTATTGCATGCGCTCGATGTTTTTTCGTTTATAATTTTACAAGTATTTATTCTCTTCACATATTTATCAATTAATTATTTTTTACTTTTTAGTGCGTTTAAAAACGTGGTATGTTAAAAATATTTTTTATTTATAAATTTAAATGATTCTTTTTCTAACTATAGTAAACTTAAATCCATGGCTGTAATATTTACCAAGATGAAAATGAAAGAAGAAACTAGAACCAAACGAATCATTTGTGGTATGGTGGCTGCAAGACTTGTATACTAGTAACTGTTTTAAAGTTAGGTTGAAGGTTATAAACACATTGCGCTCACACATGTGTAATGCTCCTGACATATTCAAATAAACAAATCAATTAATCAAACTCTGTCATTTGCAAGCAACATGGCAGTTTACACTGCCTGACTATCTTTTAGACTTTTCATGAAAAAATATATTTAAAAGCAAAGATGTGAAAAGGTATATTTTTGTTGGTTTTACTAATAAAACTTACAAGTAGGTATAAAAAAATATGTCCAATCGCACTCTTGAAATAAGTGTATATTTACGCTTTGTTTCGAGAGTGATATTAGACGTAATTTTATATACTTTTTATAAATTTAACTAGCTGTAACCCGCGGGCTTTGCCCCGTTTAACTTCTTATTTTTCAAGATGATCTCGTTCGCATGGCTCAATCACGTCCTGGTTGAAGTTCATTCGCTACGCTCACTCACCTTTAGGTTGGAGGTCGTTTGCTATGCTCACTCACCTTTAGGTTGGAGCTCGTTCGCTGCGCTCACTTGCCTTCAGTTTAGCTCGTTCGCTACGCTCACTTGCCTTCAGGTTAGCTCGTTCGCTACGCTAACTCGCCTCCAGGTTGAAGTTCGTTCGCTACGCTCACTCACCTTTTGGTTGCGAATTAGCTGTTGTCATAGATGTAAAAGAAATAATAGTGCTGCACCCTGTTGGTAATCCTTGTAACTTTAATGCTATTGAACATCATAGAACAGAACCAACTTGTTTAATTGAAACAGCTGTTAAGATTCATTAATTCCATTTCTCATAAGGTTAACATGGGAAACTCCAGAGCCACTGGGGCAGAGCCGATTGGACGGATCACGAAATTGATGGTGTATAAACCTATTCCATGAAATTCTACAAGTATGTACCAAGTTTCGTGGCAATCGGTTCAGCGGTGTCTGAGTTTATCACTGCCAAACAAATATATATATATATATATATATATATATATATACAAACATCCTCTTTTATACTTATAGATAACACGTGCAATGCTGATCAAGAAGGTGTTTGGTTGAAGTTCACAACGTTGTTGATATGATCTAATGCAACAGCTGCTGGCTGGGTTTGACGGGACTGCAACGATGCCAATTTTTCTTGCTGCGATCTTGTATTAGAGGAGGCTAGGTCAATGTGTCTACAGCCTTCAACTCAGACGCAATGTACACATTTTTAGACCTTCGGCATACAGAACGCATTTTGCACTAGTAGCAGAAGGTCTAAAATAATAAGAATGTTGTACCTTCCGTTACTAGTCCAAAATGCAAACTGTATGCTGGAGGTCTAATTGGAATTTCCAGGATTTAGACCTTCAGCAACTCTAATTTTATAAACAATTATTTACAAAATAAAAGTTGTGTGCTAAGGTCTAAATACCACAAGGTCTAAAAAAGTACCAGTAGATGAGTTTTCTTTATTGACTGTACTTTTAGACCTTCGGCTACTGCACGTTAGGACCCATAGCAACAAGTACAAAATCCAAAATGTGTGCCGAATGTGTAATTAGACCTTCCGGGATTCAGACCTTCAGTAACTGATCCCTGTACAGTACAAGCTGTCACACACTTGTCATTATTCTGTTTGTTTTGTTGGTAGCCCTGAGTATTCTACATCAGCATGCAATACAAGGAGACATCACAGAACTACAGTTGGCAGCAGTGCGGTGGCTGGCGTACAGTCGGACCCAACCTAGTGTAGACCCCAGAGTGCTGTACAAGCTGCTCACATCACTAGAGAACACTTGGCCTATGGAAGTGCTGTCCAGGGAAGAGGTGAATTAGACTTGCTTGCCTTGAATTTTAAAACACAATATGGGCAGAGTTCAAATAAAAAAAAATTTGAATCCGTCTTGAGGAGGGTTCAATTTATTTAACTCATTCATCATAATAAGCTGTTCAAAGCACATAATTGAAATGTTTATATGAATTCTGAATTGTTTATTGATAATGGTTTTGCAACTACTTTGTTTAGATGAGTAACTTATTTAAAACTTGGATTTTACTGCTACAACAAGCCCTTCAGAATACAATTTAAATCCAGTTAACTGAGAGTGGTGTACCGTAGTTAAACACTGGAATGTTTAGCTTGCCTAAAAATAGAAATTGTTGCCTATACTTCGTTAAATCTACAGTTAACTGCTTAATGATTGTTACTCTGGTAGCCGCTCAAATCCAAGTTTATTTTACCAAATTTTCTATCTAGGGAATAAGCTATTACTGTAGCAATCATGGTAAAACCCAGACCCGGGTTTTGTTCAATAACTGGAATAAAAGTCATTCGATATTGGTTAAATTTGGTACAAATGAGTTAACCTAAGTTATTTTGCTTGAGCTGGCAAACCACCATAATCTGACTTCAGGTACATGGTTTTATAGGAGATTTTATAAGGTAAAAATAGGTGTTTCCCCCTTTTGATCCTCAAAACACCAAATTTTGCTACCTTGTAGAAAACACAAATAATTTAGTTTATTGAAGCCACTTAAATAGTATTCTTACTTTTAGGAAATATTTTAGTGGAGATCTAGTTATGCAAAAAAAATTGCTGATCTATAGGGTTGCTCTGGCAGGGGTATTTTACCTTGCACAGGTTAAATTTATAAATGTATGCTGATTTTAGCACTGGATAAGTTTTGCCAAATATACAGTTAATATGTTAAGCTATTGTTAAGCAGTTACTACTAAAATCTAAGTTGATTTTTCAACGTTATTAACAAGTGCAATTAATAATTATAATAATAAACTAGCTATATTAACTATTAGCTTTACCCGTGCCTTGTAACAGGGTCAGGATCCAGAAGAGATTTTGGTTCCTTCAAGATGCCGTAGAATGTTTGCTTCATCCTCCATTTAATTTATTGGCACATTTTATACACTGCTATTAAGTGAAAAAAATCATTGAACAAGTTGCTCCCCAGTTGGCCATTTAACATTAATCTTATTTTACCAAAGAGTTTTAGCATCATTTTGAAAACAGCTGTTATTTTGCGATTTGACGAACACATTGTATTTCTTCATCTATTATTTTTATCTTCCCACTGCAAAAACTCAGAAGTAATTACAAGCATGTTTTCAGGAAGAGTGGTTAGCCGACTCTTTCAACATTTTTCTGGATTATTCGCTTCAACTTATCAGGAAACATCGAATACTCTTCCCTCCTCATCACCGACCCTCAATGTCTCGCTTGGAACATCTTTTAAGGTCAGCAACTTTTTTACAACTTTTACACTGTGGATACCTTATGTACGCTGTGAATCCTAATTTTATTTTAAAATTACACAATCAGAATATTTGGAATACCCCTCATGGAATTTGACTCCCCTTGCTTCCATAACCACTGCAAATCAACTAACATATGTCACATTTTAGCATATCATTACACCTATTACACAAATTAGCCATCAAAACTGTTACACTATCATCCTGTAGTATTATGAGGTAACACATTTTATAAAAGAGCAAAATATTAGCGTGTCTGTACTTATATTTAACATGTTGTCTAAAAATAACCTGTTCTTTAGGATTGTATTATTTAGATCTGCTCACTTGCTACAGCTTGAACTTAAAGTAGTATGATCTTGCAACTTATTAACCTCCCAGGGTTCCCAAGTCAGTTCAAAAGATTAAAACACATTATTAGGTAATTACCGGAGAACACAGGCCAAGGTTCACCCTTGCAGGTAGCCTATTCCTCATGGAGAAGTTGACCTATTTACGCTTTTCCACTGAAGCGCCCAAACACTTAAATTGCGATTTTATATCAGTAAAATAATGTAATCATGTTGCTTGTCTTAATTCACTTTCATTAATTATTGGGGGTTTTCAAAGAAAAATTTTTAATTGGTTAATAACAAATTTTTTTTCCGTCTGTTACATTTTGTCAAACATTTTTGACATTTACACCGAAGTACTCCTTGAAAGATTAATAACGACTATTGTGTTCACAGTAACTAAAAACCAAGTACAAACAAAGTCAGTGAGTATGTCGAGAAATGTCCTTATTTTAATTTTTAAGTTTAATTAAAGCTACAAAATTAAAATCATTTTGTGAATACAAACAAGTATATCTATGAGATGGTAATTTCATTTAATAAAATGCTAGAGATTGATGATTTTATCAATATGCATGACATTACAGATGCTTAGGATTGCTGTCTTCCATGAAGGCCTATTGGAAAGTTTGTCCTTTCAATAAAGAAGTCAGAGGAGAAATTATGCAATCGCTGAAAAAGGGAACCCAAGAATGGTAAATCTCACAACATAAGATAATCTTTAGATAGCTATGTACATTACTATGGTCATATAATTGAGCGTACGAATCTATATTTTAGCTAGATGCTCTACTTGTGTTTCACAATGAGGTAAACACACGGAGAAGAACAAGAGTATATTTAATCTATATGATCATGTGGTTACTTAAACCTTATGCAGAAAAAAACTACATGCACAAGCCTCTAAGTTATACAAAATATTGAAAATAGCCTGTTTGGTACAGTTTGATAAGCTTTTTTGCAAAATAAAATGAACCTAATCGGAATGTAAGTAAACAGTAAAAATTAAAAGATTGTGAGTATCCAAAAGCTCCATCTTGATCACTTTCACTTCAACTAACAGTCCCAGAGGTTTTTGAGGACATCGTAATGCCTTTGTTGATCGGTTTTCAACCAAAACTTTTGTAAACTATCAGCCCCTCAGTTCAATAGTCTTACCTTACCTGTGTGACAAAAAAATACATGGACAGTACCTCTACTTTAAAATTTAAATTTATAGATGTGAATTAGTGATTAACCCGCTGATTTCAATTTACAAGGTACGAAGAGCAACACAAAGGCATGGCTAACATGCGAACAGACCCGGACACTAGGATTCTTGCTCTCGTCAAACTCATCACAGCCTTCATAGTCGATCTTCAGAAAGGCACTGACTACTACAACGGACTTTTCGAGAGGTAAGTTGTTAGGTTTACAACATTAGGCTGTATAACATTGATGATGAGGGTAAACACAGCCTCCTACAATTCAAGGCTACATAGGTGGTATGTGGCACACACCGGCTAGCCTATTGCCATGTAATAATAACAGTAAACATAATAAATAACAGTAGTAACAAACATGTGAAAGTAACATTGCACAAAGAAGCCATTATAAACTAGTGCAACCAGCTGTTTCGGTCTGCCCAAAAAGCGGTGTTGCCACTTTGGTCTTAGAGGCCTTTGTATTAGAGGAGGCAATAAGGTTAAGCTAAAGCATTGACCACAATTTAAATATGAGTTAAAGAAGCCTATGATGAAAAAATAGGCCTACTGATAAAATGAATAAAACAGGAATCTACTAGGGTTGTCCATGAATTAGAGTTTTCATTGTCTTTGCTTTATGCATGACCAAGCCAGTTCAAATCTGACACCAGTGCCATGTTCTCTACTTAATATACAACTGTTCGAGATGGATTCTACCCCTAAGCATTGATTAGATATGTGATTGTAACTACTGAAAATAATGCAAAGGGTATTAAACCCTCTCAAGTTTGAATCAAATTCTTCGATTAGGTTTAAGTATGAAGGGGATCAACCCCAATTGAAGGATTGGGTTTCTTCCATTGCGAGTTAAAGGATTTACAGAAAATGGTTTTGATTAATGTGCGATAGTGGCTTATGATAGGTAGTTTAGTTTTCAATAGGGCTGTACACATAAGTACAACTGAGGTGGGTGTTGATCAATTTCAATTAAAGCAAAGATTAAAATTTAAAAACTGAGGAAACTGTCCTTACTGATCGACAAGTTTAACAGTGTAGTGTATATTTGTAGAGATTTTAGAGCCAGAAATATGACTCGCTCATTAGGTCAAGGGAAAAGCCAATTGGGTACCCTATTTTAGGCTCAAAGGTTTTACAAAATTAATATGATTTTTTTGTTGAATACTGTGGAAAACCATTATTTTTGTTTACAGCACCAATGGAGTTTCTTATTTCTGTGCTGTTTACAAACATCTGGAAAAACTTGTGAGTAAGAAAATCATGTTAAGTAATAGTGTCTTTTACCAAAGTATTTTTTTTTTTGTTTAAGTGTGATTTTTCTGATAAACCGAATATTTGACGTAATTTAGAAACAGAACACAATTGCTTGCCAATTGAATGAAGTAGACTAGTTTTAGGTCGTAGGCTTAGTAATAGAAATAATTGACTTTTTCAGAAAATATTTTTAGTTAAAAAATATTAAAAAAATGTGATCTTTGAATAATTCCCTTTTCATCTGTACATGAAAAGAAACAGACTAAAAGTAAATCATACAAGTTTTACTTTTTTTTGTAACTATTGTTATTTAATTTTTTACCCAATATACTAGTAGATAATTAAAAATCTACAGTTTTTTAAGTTTCAGTGACTTCCTTCCTTCCAAGTCTGATTATGTGTCTAATACAAGTTCTTCAAGTTTACAGTAATTTCCTGTTGTGAACAAACTTTTCTTCCAAGTTCAATATTTAGTCTGATGAAAGGTGAATCAGTTCAGGCAACAGCAACAGTGGTTAATTAGGCTTTTAGTATACATCTTTTAAGTGTTATGTTGTTTATAATTTTAAACAACACTGAATATAACACAGTGCCCAACGAATGCCTCTCAATGTTTGTGAATTTTTTTTCAATCTCGGTTTGATACACGAGGAGTATTTTGGTTTTTAAATATTAAAACTTTAAATATTTGTATTTATATTAGGCCTATACATAAAATAAGCTATAGGAAAAAATGTATCAGGTAATATATTTTTTATTGTTATTTTTATTAACTTAAAGATAGTACCGGATTTTTTACACAGCCTATAATGGAACAAATTTCTTGTCCGTTTTCATCAGTAAAAGAAAAAAAAACTTAAAAACTTTGATTGAATTAAGTCCCAAACATATTACTGATTTCATGGAATATTGTTGAACAGTATGCTATTCACATTTTCAATTAAATATAAAAACATATATTTTTATCACTACCTGTTCAATATATTGCCCTACAGTATTAAACTTAAAACTTGTATTTCACTAGGTTCTTAAAATGATATTTTAGCCCTCGCTGTTTTCTAGTTTGAACATTGCTTTACCAAAATAGTTTTTTTGAACTTGGTTTGGGCCCATTTTGTATTGCTTATCGTGTAGCGTTAACATTTATAACTTTGACTGTTCAGTGATGGAACTGTGTGTCTGGTATTAGATTTACCGGACCCCCATACTGCAATCCGGCGTTTTAGCTTTTTCATTGTCTTGTTCTTTAGATGGCCAAGGAATTCTCAAGAGTGGTGGATATTCTTGAGGTACAGCATCAAAACGATGATGCGTCAAAGCGATGACAACATCGTGACGTCTGCATCGCTGCTTAAAGTTTGGCTTTGCTTCGGGGGTAGATTCAGATTGTGAAGACGAATGCACCGTAGCTATTTTAATGCAATATGCAAATAAATGCTGGAAGAATGATGTCTGATTTTCATGAACAAGTTTTCTAAAGTAACATTTTTAGTAAAATTAGTTTTTTTGCTGAAACTTTGTGGTTTTTTACAATCAAAATAATAATTCAGATGAAAACAAAGTTGTTTAACAAATTCTAAATACAAATATTGCATTGTGAAATAGCTATGGTTTGATTTAGTGACTATAGAAAGCTATCACTTACTTTTTTTGTTCTCGTAATTATAACTTTTCCCCCTTACGAAATGTTTCAGTAACATTACACCGACTAAAAAAAATTCGTACATTCACTAAAGATGTTAACAAATCAATAAAAAAATTTAAGAGAGAAATCAATTATTTGTTAAATGTACATATTTATTTACAAAGAAACTTGAAAGTCAAAAGTTTTTAGTTAATTTACTAAACGGTAAAACTTATTAGGCCTAAAGGGGGTTAAGCAGTTACAGTTAACTTATTTTTTATTCCAGCACAGGAATGTTCAAATCTTTTAGTTTTCACACTCAGCGTACATTAAATATCTAATACATAATATTCATTAATCATTACAAGGTTCCTAAAAAAATCTCAAAATACTACACAGTTCTCAAACACTGAACACTTGTTTGATATTTGTTGATAACAGAAATACCAAACTAAGAAAATTTAATTTTAAAATAAAACTTAGTTTGAGCCGGTAACAGAAGAGATGTATCGAGTGAGTGATAGCAGTCTTGCTTACTTTAGGCTCTGCTTGTCTGCTTATATGTCTGCGGCGGTCTAGTCAACGACATGTCTCTACGTTAATTAACAATGTTCCTGCATTTCACCTTTTTTCAACTCTTAACGCATCTTGACGCTTCAGTGTTGTTGTATACTGCTTAATAATTGTTTTTTCATAAGTTTGTTTGCATTACTTTATGTGTATTTTGCTTATTGTTTTGAATAGTAAATAAGTATAACACTTTTGAACATGCAAGATTTTTTATTTTTAAATGATAAACGACAGTTAAATCTTAAGAAAATGCAAAGAAACTGCAAAAACGTTATACAAATTTGACAGTTAACATGAACAAACAGAAATATAGGAAAACAATTTTTAACGTTTCTAGATTATAGAGTGCAAATAATAAAAAATGAATAAATAACCATATGAAGAATTTGAGGTTAAATGAAAATTTGGTATAGCTAACTGCGCACAGCCTAAATACATAAGTGATGTGCCAAATTCTTTTGAGATCATAACTCTTTACTAACATCTACAGCCTACAACGATTTTCGAGGATCAACGTATTCATACTTATTAAAAGCTTAAATCCTGCATGAATCTAAAAATAAATCTCCTGTGACCACCTTTTATCAATATCATGCCAGCAATTTAAGGATCCAGAAAATGGAGGAAAACTTTTGGGAAAAATGTAATTGCGATCAATGAGAGAAAATTAAATTTCATTCAGGATTTTCATGGGACGTGATATTTTTTGATTTGTCAGCGCTTATCCTTTACCCGCATTGCGAGTCAAAATGGCGTTTCTGCGATGGCAGGCGATGATGATAATGTCTCAGCAATAGCGAGAAATTTTCTTGATGGTGCTGTGATTGCGAGATATGTTCACCCTGAAATTGGGCTGCAAATAAGAAAAATGTTGATGATGGGGTTGTGATTAGGATTACCATCAATCATACCACAATCCAATTACTAATTAATACCTGACAAATCTTTATAAAAAATATTTATATCATTTCAATTTAATATTCATATCTACTGGTATTACAATGGTAGATTCACTGAAGTAAATCAAATTAAACAATGTATAAATAAGTAAATAACACTTTTGCACTTTAAACCGTTATTTTCTAATACATAGCTTGGGGAGTGAGCTGGTCTAGTTGTAGAGCGCTGAGTTTTGAGTCCGAGGTCCTGGGTTCAAATCCTGCCAATCACCAATAGATTTTATCCGTGTGCGAATGCTGCGACTCCTAGGTCAAGCCTGAAGTAATGTTTTAAACAGTTCTACGCTACCTAGTGTTCTAGAATATAAAGGTGGGACATAAAAACACCAGATGAGTTTTGTAGTAATAAATACCTATTTGAACTCCTGAAGTTTGCGTTAAGGGTTGAAAGGGTTTGTTAGAGTGTTACTGCTTTACATGTTAGTGATGTTCTAGCCCAGTCTTCAGTGCCATTGTCCAGTTATATTTTCCCGTTCTGTGTCTGTACATACTGAATGGCCCGCGGCATTTAGATAGTGTTAGCTGCATAGTGCGTAATATACTTGTACATTACAATTTTATGACATTGTACAATATTCTGAGTCATATTATTGGTAATTTGTGTGTGCATTATGTTATTGTTTTCCACTGTTTTTATTTTATTGACACTTCCCTTCTTTGGAATTTATTCTACTTTGTTTTATTTCGTTAATTTAATATCCTAGTTCATTTTTGTGCTGATTCTAATAATACTGATTAACATTGTCCTTCAACGAAAAGTTGAATTTTGTACAGTATTTTTAATGATATACAATTTTCAAAAACAAGGCCTCTAAAATAATATATTTTGATCCAACTTTTATTATTTTTTGCATGTTTGCATGCCATTGAATTTTCTAAATGAAATTAATATCTAAAAGTAATAGGCCTACTAATAAAAATATTTAACTTTTGCACAGCTGTAAAACTTGTGTAATTGAGTATATTGATATTGTGTTAAATTTTTAAATTCCAAACAGAAATTTACAAAATTTTAATTCTGGTTGTCCTGCATTACAATTTATGTTCATAGTTGTTTAACTTTGATTATAATAGGTATATTTTTTGAACTTCTTCTTTTAATTGCCTCTTTTTATGTTTTTTAAATCTTCTTTAATTATTACTCTTACAATTTTGTTTATTTAAACTGATCTCTAACTAATCATACAGGTTTCTGATAACTTCAATTCTATCATTATATGTTATTAAAACAATTTCAAATTAAATACAACAATTTCTTGGTTAGAATACTAACCACTGTACCATTCATATCATATTGTTAAATAAACAAAACGAGAAATACAATAATTGCCCACTCAATTTTTTACTGAGCCTAAAATATATCATATTGTTAAGTAAACAAAACGAGAAATACAATAATTGCCCACTCAATTTTTTACTGAGCCTAAAATTGAGTTAAACTTTTGCTATACTGTTGTAGCAGTATTCCTACTTGTTTGATATATGTAAAAATTAAAGTACGCTGTTCATTTGTGAACCCCCCAATAAATTGTTAAGTCTTGAACCTTTCCAACTCAAGTTTTTCAATCATGCGTTTAATTTCTTTTTGTTCAAGGTTATATATTTTTGTAAACATCTATTTTTTGTAAATTTTCAAGTTAACCAACAAGTTTGGGACAAGCTTTGTTGGAAAAATTTTATAAACACTTAAAAATAATTTGAATTGTCGTTGTGACTCATCCTAAATATATTCACTTTCAAATTCATTTTTCATGAACAAGTTTTATTTGTAGTGTAAAATAGTGTCCAGTCAAATTGAAAATTTGGCCACAATGTAATGTTTGTTTGTCTTCAACAAATTACAAAACTTGTGACTGAAAATTTTAATATTTTACCTCCTTTTAACGAGAACCAATAGTTAAAAACTTAATCAATCTTGTATCCTGCAGTTGTCTACTAGAGTATTTCAAACCAGACAATATGGTATGCTATATTGTTTACGTAATGTTCTATTCAGATATGTTTTAAGCTATTTACAGTTTTTATATTTTACAAATTATTCAAAACACTTTTTACTGGAAAGGTGTGAATTCCGATTGTACCCAGTGTTCTGATAGACGAATCAGTAATATTCTGACTGTAGTAGATATTTGCCGTGTCGTGACTGTATAATTGTTCGCTTGAGGTGGTGAACGACCTCGGGCCCGAGATGTCTACGTTGTGTCAACAACTGAGGATAACAGAGCTGGGAGTTGAGCCTCCGAACCTTCCACCGGGGGCTGAAGTGGGAACTCCGATCTTTGAACTTTATCTCTCCGTGCAGGAATTTATAAGGTAGAATACAGAACTGTTAATACTGTTCTATCTTTGGCGACCATACAAAGTAGGTATTTTAAGCCAAGTATGAATGGAGATGAGTGTAGGATGAGTGGCGCGATGTTGTAGTCTTGTTAGTGACTAAGGCCGACATTCCTTAGACACAGCTGTTAATTAATAGCCCATACAGCTAATGGCAACTAAGGGACCTACAGTTTATAGTGGAATCTGAACCACATTTTTGCTTTGGTAATTACGAATTGGTCTAATTATCAGGATAGTACTGCGGATAGTCGTAGTACTCAACCATGCGGACGTTAATCCACACTGGGGAGTATCGCATCCACAGTGCATGCCTATAAATATCCTCAATTCGTGACCTCCTAGTAGCTGGATTACAGGACGACGCCACCCGTCCCAGAACTGTTTCAATTGTAAGTTTTAACTGTGTAAACAAGAATTATTCCAGCATACAAGGACTGTTCAGAAAGTAGGGAACGTTTTGGAATAAAATAAACAGTCTGTATGGTAAAGAAAAATTACATTGCCTTATAAGATCACAGAGAAGTGAGGTACAGAGGAAGCACACTTATAGTACGGCCGTACGCTTTCAACTGTGGTATTGTTGTGCTGGAAATGTACATGACTAGAATGGGAGAGCCCGAATCTCTCCCACTGTGCACTGCGTGAAATTCCTATCACACAGAGGGTCTTCCTCCGCCGAGTGTTTTTTAGTCAAGTGTCAGTTAGACTTTGTGTTGTTTAGTTTCTGAGTTGGACTTTGGCCTAGACACAACTTAACTATTCAATGTTTCTCTGTATCCTACCTTTCTATGATAAAATCAAAATTACTTTTTCCCTACATAGGTAGCCACCAAACAAAATGAGGCTCTTATTATAGTGGTGAAGATTTGAAATTCCTTTGTAATAGAATTCAGCTGTCTACAATCTCCACCACTTGGTGATCCAGTATGACACTTGGAAATACAACTAAAAATAGTGCTATAGAGATTAGAATTATATTCAAAGCTAGAGATTATACATTCTAATACAGTTTCAGAGAACATCTTCCGGAACACAAGTCCTTATCAGTCCACAGTTACTATGAGTGGTTTGAACCTGCTGTCGACAAGTGGCTTGACTTGGCAAAGTTCAAGGTCAGTTTGATAAAGGCTTTCTCTCGTTTTGTCGATCATTTTCACAGAGAAGAAAAGTCAATGTTAGAATGAAAGTACTATGGGAAAACTTATTTCACAATAATGAAATAGTATATTTTACTACTAGTCACGAAAGTGGGAGCGAGCTGGTGTAATGGTTAGAGCACAGGACTTCGGTGACTGAAGTCCCGGGTTCAAAACCCACCAAATCACCAATGGATTTTATCCAAGTGATAATGCCGCAACCCCTAGGTCCAGCCTGAATAGTGTAAAACTAGTGTAAAATTCAGCTGATTTTAACTTTATTGATGTCCGACAAAGTATTGTTTGTGCAGCGAAAGTAATGTTTATGTAGCAAAAGTAATGTTTTGTTTATTGTTTATGTTAGTAAAAGTCAGCTGATCACTATTTAAAAAATTTGTTTTTGGTGTATGGACATTGAAGATTTTCAAAGATCTCAGCTGTATGGAAATGGGCTATTTTCGAATACAGAGTAATGAAAAAACTAAATTGGCCACTGAGGATGTGATTTTCTATTTCCTGTTTCAAATTTGGGTAAAGGAGGCACTGAAAAATCTTTAAAAAATACTTGTAGTTTGTATTTAGAAAGAAGGAATGGATACTAACTAACGTATCCAAGAAAAACTACCATTCTACTGCGTCCTCCTAAATATACCCCGTTTTTTGTTTGTTTTTCCCCCTTTTTTTCCTTGGACGCTAGGCACGAGCCTGGTATTGTTTTTCACATTACTTCAGGCTAGACCTAGGGGTTGCGGCATTATCACATAGATAAAATCCATTGGTGATTTGGCGGGATTTGAACCGGAGACCTCTGGAACTGAAGTCCCACGCTCTAACCACTAGACCAGCTTGCCCCCAAAATATGCAGGTGCGAAATATAAAATTAATTTATTTTGTGACCTTTCAACTGACTGGTACGGTTTTATTGGGAAGTCCAAGTCAGTTGTATATTAATTTTCTTCTCCCTTAGTGTATTCCTAAGCCTAGTGCCTTTTCCTCCAAAAAACATAAATATTTTAAATTTTCGTCAAAATTGTCCCAACCGAACCACTAAATATTTGTCCTCTAAAACTTCAAAGTCTCAATAACAATATTACTACCAAGAAATGAAATAGAAAACACCAACCTGTTTAAAAAATGTGTTTGAATATTTGTACTGAATATAAATTAACATTTATTTTTTAGGCATTAAACAGAATAAAGAAAGCTGCAGAGCTAAACAGATTCTGCTCAGGGGACTATATTGTCAAACATAGCACATCAGCTGTGGATACATCTGCTGTGTTTTATCAGGTAAACAACATTTAGTTAGACGATTGCAAATAAATTTTAACGCTAAAATGAAAAACCTTGAATACTTTCCATACATGTTTTAGAGAATCTAGAATATTAATAGTAAATATTTGTCCGCAGTGTGTTGTTTTTTTTTCATTTAAAGTGTGTTTTTTTCATTTAAACACTGCATCCTTGGTTTGGAAAATATTTTGAACCATTAAACCATTAACCCTTCCAGGGCTAAATTAAATGAAGGGCTGGAGCTTAATTATTTGTTTGGCAAAAATTAAAAACTAAAGTGTTTTGTATTTATTACACTTGAAATAATTCATGGATCATAAAAATGATTTTCCTTAAGGCTGAACTAATTTTTGTACAAAAACTATGAAGAAAATAAAATTTGATTTGACGGATATATCCGTCTTTGGCCCACAAAAAACATAAGGTGGAGGGATATATCTGTCTGCCGCCCTCAGTGATAATCACAAAATATTAACACTGCCAATAATCTTGAGTATTCTTGTGGGCGGCAGACGGATATATCCGTCAACCTTAGGCTATTCCTTCCCTTGTTTTATTTTTCAACCATAAAAATATATTTATCATTCTGAAGTAAATCTAAACCACTCAGTTTCGCTCCCATGTCCTCAATCCCATTCCTCGACAAGACTTCCACTACGTAAAGTCTGTTCTTCAGGTTCATCATATCCATCACATACCCTATCATTTTCACTGCCAAGTATAAAACCCCTCTCAGACATACTTTTATTAAGCACCTCAATAACATCTTCAAATTTCAGATCGTTTGAATTAGTAACTTTAGCTCAATAAGAAGTCAAAAGAAGCTTAGAAATAAAGTACAAAACACAAAATGTAAACATCACTCACTAACAAACCATGTGTGAAGTGACCAATATTTACTTACGCACACTCTATGGTGCAAAATAGCCGAAACAGCCGTGGCAATTATTATTGCCAACCACAAAAACAAAATAACCCATTTATAATACATTGTAATGTTTATTACCGTATTATAAACATTGTATATCAATTTGTTTTTTGGACGGATATATCCGTCTTTATCCCAGAAAAGAAATTCCTCGGGACGGATACATCCGTTTTCAGCCCGGAAAGTAAACAAAGATTGACAGATATATCAGTCCATAGCCCTGGAAGGGTTAAATTCTGTATTTTTACCACAATTAAATTTTTTCTATTGATTTTGTCCTGGAAATGTTGCAAAATATATTCTTTTGACGGTGGTTTTGTTTGTTTTGTTTCAGTTAAAAGAGTTTTGGAAGCAACTGGCTTGGCCTGATATTATTGGTTCCTACAATTTGGTTGTCAAACTGATAGATGTAAGTATTAAATATTAGGTTTTTTTTTAAGCTTAGAGATTAAATGTTCTGTTATCATCATCAAACAATAAACCCAGTGCTCGATTTGCGGGGGAACACAGTTCTGGTATTTCTATTTCGAAAAGATAAAATATTGACATGAATAGGTCACAAACCACATTAAATAGGTTACAGTTCCCGCACCTCATGTTTTACAAATCGAACACTGAATAAACCATTATTGTTTGATTCTTGATTCACAATATACAAAGTACATTTTTATATTTGTTAAGATTTTTTCTATACAATACTCTTAATCTTCTAAAATTTTCTAATTGTGTAGATTTTTTTTGTAAGAGGTTGGCGGCCTCTTTTAACCTTGCATTTTCCCGTCCACATAGACTACAGATCTGTGCGTGGAACGTATCCAGCAAAGCAAGGGGTGAACCAGGACAGTACAAAGGTGAACTGTACTGACAAAATGTTCGTGGCAGTGATCAGGATCGGAACCCACGACATCGCTGCCTTTGGCCCGAAGTCCGTGACGCTATCAACTGAGCCACCGACTCACCTCTAGATGATTATTATTTAGTTGGGGGCCAGGGTGGTATAAAACTAAGTGAAATTCAATTGGCATAGCTACAATCTAGTATTTAAATAGAATTTTAGTTTTATTTCATTGTTTCATCTTATTTCTAGATCTAGGTATTCTGAAATGCTTTTGAAATTATGAATGGTTTTAAAGTTTTCTTAGTTTGCTTGCCTATTCATATGTATTTTTTTCACAGTGCATATGCAGTGGCGCCATTTACTATGCCCAACTTACCCAGCAGAAGCTACAAGAGACGGGGTATTACGAGGATAATTCCGCCTTCCGTACCACCGATGAGGTAATGGTAATGTAAATATTCACATTACCCCTGTAAAAGGTGTTCAACGTAATGTGTTTCTTCACTCTTCTGTCTTCCGGTTTACAGCCTGGTCTGTCTTTAGTGTTTTTAAGAAATTGTTAAGAGATGAACAATATTTATCCTTTGATGTGACCTAAGGTAAGACTACTTAACTTATTTTGTTTTCTAAGATCTCATTATCATTTAAGGTGTACATTTAAGTTAAGTTTAATTTAAAGTTTACTGTGACAAAATTCTTTACCTCCTCTATCAATCTTCCTAAGGTCTTACTTCATCTTTGGTCTTTAAATTCCTGCTCTTTAGATGTTGTTTGATAGATAAATTCTTTTTATTGTGATATTTGGATTTGTAATACAGTTGATTACTGTATTTTGCTGTTTTGAGCTTTTTTTAGTTTCAGTGAAACAGCTTGTTCTAAATTTTAAAAACTAATTTGTATTTATCGCCATTTTGTAACTGTATGGGTTTGTCCAACAACTATGGTTTCAATACTGTGGACATGTCATGTGAGAAACAATTTGCTATTATTATATACTTAAAAGCAGTTTTTTTGGGTACCAAGTTGTGTTTTATGTTGGGTACATATTTCAGCCCGTTTTGTTGAGTAGTATAGTATTTGATGGTTTTACCTTGCAAGTGAAGGTCTGTCTAACCAGGACATATTGCGGAACATGTTGCAAGACATGTGTTGAGATATTTTATTTTGAGATACAATAATTGTGTGACATGGAGTCGGGTCGGGGCAAGTTGAAGGATATGTTGCGGGAAAAGTTTTGAAATTCATTGTGAAACATAATTGACATGTTGAGAGACATGAGCTACGTTATGGGATGCTGCAAGGTGTGTTTTATAGCTATTTACATTAAAAGTGTAGTAAGAGCATTTTTACATCACGCAGGTGAATGTTGTGCAACGAGCGAAGGCGAGTTGCATAATTCACCGAAGTGATGTAAACACGCTCTTGTGTAACGTGTAACGTACAAGATTTTACCTGACCCGACAATATTCAGGAGGTTACGAGCAATATGCTTTATTATCCATTTCACTCATCTTCTAACAGTAACGTTCATTTACAAACAAAAGCTAGGTTAGGAAAATTCTTCAAAGCATAACAATAAAATTCAAACACACAGCTGTTTTCTAGCGTTGAACGACGTTGGCTCCATAGAGGTATATTTTTTAAGTTATCCACTCAATGTTATTTAAATGGGTTTCATTACATCACCGAGTGAGTTTTTTTCAACTTTACATCACTCGAGAAGTAAGGAAGTTGTATACATCACGCTTGGGATAGGGAAGTTTAACATGGCGGGTTAGGTAAAGATATTTTACGACATTGTTGCAGGGTATGAGTGCAACATGTGTCAGGATATGTTGCAAGACACATGTTGAAATATTTTGTTAGACATGCCGGGATAGGCCAATGTTGAAAGGGAGATTCTTTGTTCTTTTGCCTTCACAACGTACAGCTAGTTAGCGAGATATTGTGATGTACTGTTGCAGATGTGTGTCGCAATGAATGACCTGGAGTACGTGAGACGCAGTGTGACTCTACTGCCTGATGAGCTTCAGGTCGAGGCAGTGTTGGAGGCTGTAGATGCCGCAGGGGATCATTCCACCCAATGGCGAGACAATATTACTCAGCTGCTTGACTCCGCTACCCATCAGCTACTAGCCGATGTCATGATGATTATCAACCGCATCGGTGTTAAGGTTTGCGATGCTATTGATGAGTGCAAAACGGTTGGAAAGGATTTCTTTGTTGGATAATCTTGCTGTAAATGAGATATCATTTAATCAGGATTCCTTCTGCACTAAGTGCTTTTATTTTGCAATGATACTTTTAAATGTACAATGTTGATCAGGATTGAGAAAAAAGTGGAGCATTTTTGAATCCTGAACCATCCTTCACATAAAAAAGCATGCTTAACAAATCAGCTTTTTTTACGTAATCAAACCTTTAAAGAAATAACAACACCTGGCTGAAGTACATAAGATTACCTAAATATTTACATGTTTTTCTGTTACTTTTAGCCAAACAACCAATGTTACAGATGCGACCGGCCTTAAAAAAGTCCATGTTTCACCTCGCATGGTCACCTGACTCCCTTCCAACCAGTGACGCCATCACTCCCCTTCTAGAGTATCTCGACTCCCACCTGATTGCGCTCAACTCTGCCTTGCTGCCACGCAACTTCGAGCGTGTGCTGGCGCTTGTCTGGGACACGTGCGTTACTGAGTTGGCGCACCAGATGGATGGTCATGCGCAGGACAAGATGCCCGGCTTTTACGACCGACTCTACGAAGCGCTGGATTTTCTAGCAGAGTTCTTCCATGCCGATGGCAAAGGCCTGAACCTGGAAGGTTTGAAGACAGGTGATTAAAAAAATATGGATGGATAGAATTTAATTGGACATATCAATACTGAGACTCTTTACAATAAAAATCGTGTAAGCTTAAGACAGACGTGTGTTGATGTTGATATTAAAAATTGATCGATTATTGATACCAATACCTGAAAAATCTTCAATTTAACAAAACTTTCTGTACGTGTTGGTTATACAGGACACCTATTTATTTTATTTTAACGCAACCCAAATTAAATGTAGTGTGAGAGACATTTTTATGACAAAATGCTGATATGTTGATACCCCGGTTTTCTTTACTTCATGGCCGATCAGCTGATACATTGGAAATAAGACACAACAAGGTTTCCCAAGCTCAAAGAGTCATAAGAATACGTTAAAAGTAAATTATTGGTTTTATGCCAATAAAGGTTTGAAATTAAGTTTCCAGGTGTGATTCCAGTACCGGAAACCAGATCCGTACAAATTTAAGGTAAAACTTAGACCTAAAATACATACTGTTTTTGAGATTGTGATAACACCATGTTACTGAACAATTAAACATAACAAAATAGCCAACACCATGTTGTTTTAGTTCTTTAACACCATCTTTGATTTTGTTCTTTGGTGTTGTGTCCATACCTCTCCTTATTAGCCAAATTCAACAGTATCGGCCCTTCCTGACTTACTGTACCATTTCCAGAGGTTTACCGAGGTGTGGAGCAGAGGCTAGGTTACCACAAGACTGAGACAGAACAGCTGATAAACATGTACTACATAGAGCGTCTGCAAGAACAGTTTATCACCGAGGCGACACCGTATGGTGTGCTGACTGTACGAGCGTACTTCCATCATGACTCCCTCTGTGTGGAAGTACTGAACGCCAGAGACGTCATACCACTAGATCCCAATGGTGGGTCAACTCTCTGATGGATTCTGGATAACTTCAGCAATCACAAAATCTTGGTTATTATATTAAAACAAGTTGGGCCTCCTAAACAAAACGAGACAGTGAAGTGTTTTTTCCTTTTTTTCAGTAAACCACTTTGGCATTATGATTATACAGTGTGTGAAAAAGTTAATTAGTTATTGCATGATTGATTAACCTGAAAGTATTTTTTGATTAACCATCATGGTTACAGTTTCTGGCTATTACAAGTTAAAATTATCCACAATTTGATTTTCCTCCTAAATACAAAGTAAAAAAAAATATACAATTCTTTGGGATATTTAGCTTAAAAAATATGTATTACTCACAATTAATAGATCTAGTTAATTATTTTGAATGATCCAACCATGAGATGAGTGTTTTGTACCCCTAAAATTACGTATTTGTTTATTGAATTGAAACATGGTAATATTAATATTAAAAAGTGTTGTTTTACAGGTTTTAGTGATCCATTTGTCATAGTAGAACTTTTGCCGAAAACTCTGTTCCCGCATTGCAACGAACAAGTCACAAATGTACAGAAGAAAACTTTGAATCCGCTATTTGATGAATGTTTTGAATTGTAAGTAGCTTTGTCTCATGTTGTAGTACTGTAGAAATGTGAAAGCCTGAGATTTTTGTGTTTGTCAAGTTCTGATGTATCCTATTGTACTGTGTTTTAAATTTGAAAAAGAAGTTGATTGCCATAATATTATCATGGCCTGACTGAACAAGAAAGACAGTCAAAATAACAGGCAGTGCCGGTTTCTCAAAGCTCTAGGCTAAATAAACCCATCAGCTTCCGCCTCTTAGGTGAAGTTTCCCTGCAACATAAACATCTCTCAGATATCATCATTGCTGACTGTGATCGCACCCAAATCATGAATATCTCTCGCAATCACAGGGAAATCATCATCACTGCCTGCAATGCCAAAAATCAGCAAAAAAAAATCAAATTTTGTTAAAATAATTTACAAAATACTGCGGCTTTAGTCAGTTTAGTGCCAAGTCTGTCACTGCTAATACAGTTAACAGCAGACAGTGGTTTAAAATACTCGCCCTAAAACTCGGTACCATGTCATCCAATAAAGTCCCCGTCTCTGCTTACGGAAAAGGGTAACCACAATGTCCATTCACTCCCCTCATTGGCAAACAGTCTCAGCCTAATATCGCAGATTGCAATTATTGTAAATTATTACATTTTGTTTAATTTAGTTTGGGAAATGTACATTTTTTTGAACTTTTAAACAAACTGGCTAACACAATGTAAATTTTAAGTAGGGATGGACGGGATTGAATTTTTAGTTCGGGACGGGACGTGATTTTTATTTCCTTCCCAATTATCAGAACGGGACGGGACGGGATTTTTCCCCGTGCAAAAAAGGTTTTGTTTAAAGAGTCTTGAGTATTGCAGTAAAAAAAGTAAAAAAAATTACTGTTTGTGGCACTGATCTATAAAAACCAATAATGGGTTTTACAGGCTTAGAAAAAACGTGACTTGTCCAGTAGCTCCAGAGGTGGTTTCACGCTTGAAACATGAACAATTAGCAGATCCTAATTTTCATCTTCCTAACCGCATTGATGTCATTTTAGGAGCATCTTTGGTACCTCATTTATTCACAGGTCCTGTTACATCACTCGGCAGCACATTGCCATCAATAATTAATACTCCATGTGGTAACATAATTATTGGTACTACTCCATGTACACCTGATACATTGCAATCATGCACATCTCAATCGAGTACTTTAAATATTTGTTTGCATACTACAAGTTTAAATGACATACACAATTCCAATCAAAGATTTTGTGCATCTGTATTAAGATTAGATGGACGAAACTGTTCATTACGTTTGTGGGAATTGGATTGTCCAGCTTTATTTGTGAATGTCAGTTCTTCAGTTGGAAAGTGCAATAAGGTGTTGTGACGTTTACTACAATGTTTACAAACTGACTGAGACTGACATGTTTGAGAACTGTGATTTCCTAAGCAAGAAATACAATGGTGATGTGATTTTACTGCCTGGAATCTGTCTTGTGGTGATAGTTTTAAGAATTTGGCACAGTTGTAAGTTTTATGATCAGTGCCATCACATCCAGCACACAGCAACGTTACTTGTTGTTACTTGTTGTTGAGTTGAATGGACTTGTTATAAATTTACGTGTGTTAACCTGTTTTTCCGGAACATGAGAGATACGTGATTCTTTAAAACACGATGTGGTAGCAACTGCATCCTCATGCCGATCACATTCAGACGTTAGAAATTCAAGTATTTCTTCTGCAGAGGGCAATGTGTGAGCTGTAGCCTGTCTGTTGTCTCGGAATGTTTCAAGACGTTTGCGTAAATCCACATCAAGTTTCCGAAGTAGCAAAGCCGTCAATAAATGGTTGGAATTGCTGATGTTACAATCGATTGCAGTTAACGCCTGAATATGTTCATGACTAACGTCATATTTGGTGTAATTTAACTGTGAAACATCAGTCTCATTGTAAAATACCTTACAGGTATTTAAACAGACTACCACTCACTGCATTTAAAAAAAACTGTGTAGAGTTTTACTGCCTGAATTGGTTATGAGAAGAAAAGCAGTTTAGCTTAATAAATCCTAAATTTTGACATGTGAAGACAATATTGTGACCTAACACAATATTGTGACCACGGCGCAATCGTTGAAATAACTTTGCCTCCTGCGTTTGCGGAACTATCGTGAACATCTCTCGCGATAGCGGAGTCATCATCACTCGCGAAGCCGCCAAATCGCCAAGGATCGGATCAAATCTTGTCCCAAAAAATTTCCGAGTAAAATGTAATCCTGTCTCGAAGATCGGGAAAATTTTTTTCACAAAGATTTCCTGAAATTTCGGGACCTGTCCATCACTAATTTTAAGTTTGGCTAAGCCAACCAATCATTTACCACTGTTTGACCCGTACAGCTCGGTGAGTCTAGACCAGTGTCGAGCTGACGGAGCGATGGTGGCGTTTACAGTAATGGACCATGACGTACTCACAGCTAATGACTTTGCTGGGGAGGCGTTCCTGTCTCTTGGCTCCATCCCTGGAGTCAACAGCGCCTGCAATGCAGACAACTTCCACGGTCTCAAACAACTGGAGCTGCCACTCATGCACCAGAAGAACAAAAGTAACTATTCTGTTTAACGTAGATTATGATTGTGGGTTCGGGAAGTGGAACAGTAAATGAAACCGCATTAAAACTCATCAGCTAGGATTACAATACTGTGTCTCTGGTTAGAAACACGATTGAAATGACTCTATATAATTGCCTGTTAGTAGCATCTTTGGTCAGTTTTACAGCATAAGTCACTTGCTTTTAAATTTTTGTAGTACTTATTTTTTGTCAAATGAGTTTAAACCAGGGGAGCTGTGCGCAAATTACGCATTTAAATGTTCTGGAGGTAGTACAAACCACTATTTTACCTAACATAGCTGTTTTTGTGAAAATCAGGTTCTTTGTTATTTTAAGGGTTTTTATAGGAGAACTAGCATTTACCCGGCGCGTGTTGCTACGTTAACAACTGTCATTTTAAATTATAATATTTATTCTTTTCGATAAATAATAAAAAAGTATACCAAAAACAAAAATAGAACATTTATTTTACTTAATTGCTTGTGGGTAAACAATATTTTTTTTGTTTTTTCATTAGGTGAATAAATATAAAAGTTTTTAGGCATATGTAACACACAACATATGAAAATGCTGTCTGTGTGAAAATCATGCATTGTCCAAATTTAAACTGGTGATAGTAAGGGCCTCTTGTGCCTTATAATGGTGATTTCAAAAGCAAGACGCAAAGAAAATTGTAGTCACTTGAATTAAATGGTAATTTGGATGAAATCATCGGTATTCTTGGGATTAAGACTATTTCTCCTTGAAACTTACCACTGGTGATTGTTGCTTCCATCAAGTTTGTTGTCGTGTTTTTTAATCGTCAGTCTGGTTCCATTGCACAGCTTGGGTGGATTTAAGTTTCGCATTAGTATTATTGGAGTTCCTTCTTTTAATGACAGTAATGTGGTGGGCTAATAACAATTTGGGAGTCATTTGAATACTTGAGATAGCACGCACGATTATTATTCACTTAACAATTTATGTTAGATTGTGTGGGTATAGAAAAAAAGATAAAAATATCAAGGCATTACCATCTTTTTTATTGTTTTTAATACTTTGATAAAGTTTATTTTTATTTTTATGTTTACATATTTAATAGTGGATAATTTAAACGCTGTTGAGTGCACAGGTTTGCTGCGATTGGGGTTAAATATATTTGGACTTATCCAAAAGTAAAATAGTTTTCTGTGCAGCATTCTGTGGAAACAGTGTGGCACTATTTCAAATTATGACTAATACAGAATGTTGTGATTATTTAAACCTACAAAACAGTTGGTGAAAGTAAACATCTGCTTTTAAATTATATTTAACTAGCAGAGCACCCGTCCTTTGTATACTATTTGTATTTGTATTGGGAGTCATTTGAATACTTGAGATAGCACGCACGATTATTATTCACTTAACAATTTATGTTAGATTGTGTGGGTATAGAAAAAAAGATAAAAATATCAAGGCATTACCATCTTTTTTATTGTTTTTAATACTTTGATAAAGTTTATTTTTATTTTTATGTTTACATATTTAATAGTGGATAATTTAAACGCTGTTGAGTGCACAGGTTTGCTGCGATTGGGGTTAAATATATTTGGACTTATCCAAAAGTAAAATAGTTTTCTGTGCAGCATTCTGTGGAAACAGTGTGGCACTATTTCAAATTATGACTAATACAGAATGTTGTGATTATTTAAACCTACAAAACAGTTGGTGAAAGTAAACATCTGCTTTTAAATTATATTTAACTAGCAGAGCACCCGTCCTTTGTACGGGGTTGGCATATAAATGTAAAATGCTTATTGCAGTTATACTCAAGCTTTGCGTTTGTAATGGGGTGGGGGGAGGACACAGTTTTATACAATTTGGTTCATAAATTTACAGTATGATATAGTATAACATCTACCATTGCCATAATGTTCTATCACTGCACATAAACAATAGAAAAAAATACATTATCTAACATTCGCACAATATCACAAATTATTCATTAAATTAAAAACTGAATCCTAACTGTAAACAATACTACTTTGACAGTTCTCATTGTGTATCACAGCTTTTTGTTGCTGCTTAGTTCAAATTAGCTGTTGTCATATATGCAAAAACAAAATAATAATAGTGCAGCACCCTTTTGGGAAACCTTATAACTTTTTAATGCTATTGCATATTACAGAACCAACTTGTAAAGTTGAAACAGCTGACTAAATTCTTTAATTCCCTTTAAATATGAATACTCATAAGGTTAACATGTGGAACTACAGAGCCACTGGGGCGGAGCCCAAAAGGATTTGTTAGATAAGAATATGCCTAAATGTTAAACGGGAATGTGAGCTATCATCATGTCAAATTTCAGCCCAATCCGTCCAGTAGTTTATGCGTGATTGAGCAACACACAAACACACACACAAACTCACAAACTTTCAGATTTATAATATTAGTAAGATAAGATTCTGTAAAAATTTTAGTTCCAAAAGTCTGACATTGGACCCCTTAAAACCCTCTGGGGCGGAGCACTTTTGACGGATCTGCACCAAACTTCACACAAACCATCCTTAAATAATGCTTAATAATGCCTGAAAGTTTCATTACAATCTGTCATTACAATTTATATGAAGACCAAAGTATCCATGAACTTTTGAGAAAACTACAAGTCACACCAACCATATAAACCATATACTTAAAATGTTTGTCATGACGAGAAACCTTGCTCAAAACTATCCATTATTTCATAAATTGCTCTTTAAGGTCGTAGTTGCTTTCCAAATGGAACTTTCCATATACCTAATGTTAAAAATAACTCAGCTGTACTTATTTGTATGTTATTCATTCAATTTATTACCTTACTAGCTGTTGTACCCGTGCTTTGCAACGGGAAGAGGACACAAAATAGAAACATTTTAATCTTTACATCCAATGCATATAATAGTTACACATCCGCCAACGCTTTTAGAAACAAAATTCAACTTTTATGGCCTTAATAGAAGCGTTTAAGTTATGACTTTTAAATCTGGTAAGTAGTGGATACCACCATTTTGGTTTTGATTAGTTTTAAATCTTGTGTAGGCTGATATGAGAAAAACTGACCAAATCTTCGAATAAAACTTTGACATACATGATTTACCTTCATCTCCCTTAATTGCATATCTTTTAATTTATTATTTACATTTTAAATTTCAATTTTGAAGTTGCAAAAATACTAACTATTGAATTTAAATGAAAATTTTTTTTAATTTCACTCTTCTTTATATTAAATTACAAATCCTTCCATCTTCAGTTTCTTCACTCACAATAAATCATTAGCAAAACTAAGTCAGCTGTTATAAACTTTAGAAATATTGCTGTGCCTTATCAATACAGTTTTTTGAAATATTAAATAAACTATATATATAGGTACTATAACAAATGTTTAACAAATAATTTTAGCATTAAAGACAGCAGACAAAACTAATATGATTATCAAAGCATCAATTATGGACTAAAAAATGTAATAGCAAAAACAGTATATTATGTTTCATTGCATCTCTGATTCTACTCTACAAAAATATCAACAAACAACTTAATATACAGACCAGTTCTTTTAATCAGTTCCATTGCCCATTGCCTTTACATTTTCACACTTACCATTAAGTAAACATAGTAACAGATATTTCATTGATTTTAAAAACAAAAGAACACTGTGTACTGTTTAGTTTTATGATATTTTCCTTGGTTTAGTTTAATCAGTGGTGTGGCAAAACACAAATATTAAATGTATCAAATAAAGTAAATGTGAACTGAAAGCTATGTTAAGAAAAAATAAGAGTATTTTGTATTACCATTTAATAATTAAATAACACATTTTAGAAAACAAAAATCAACGACGTACAATTTAGTTATTGATGATATTCTTTAGTTTAATTTAAGCATAGGTTTAGCAAAACACAACTTAATTTACCTAAATATATGTATAAAAAACAATGTGATGTGCAAGTTTCTAACACATGTTAAGCAGTTAGAATTTATTTAAAAGTAGCCTTCAAATTCATACAAAACATCTATACATTGTAATTTTCATACTGTTTCCATGAAAACATATCAATAACATTATTTTCATAACTTAGACGCTTTAAAAATTCCAAAGCAGAGCCGGAGTTGATACAGCAACGGTTATAGAATCTTTTAGCGAATTTCCCATATAGGGAATAAGCTATTACCGTATTACTCATGGTAAGACCTGGACGCGGGACCGATTTTTTTTTTCGTTTTGAGGTCCCTAGAGGCCAAAAACACCATCCGTACAAATTCATATATATATATATATATATTTATATATTTATATATTTATCTATCTATCTATACTATTATAAAGAAGAGGGGGTGTCTGTGTGTGTGTTTGTATGAGCTAATCTCAAAAACTACTGATCCGACTATGCTCAAATTGCACACAAATGAAGCTACAGCTCCGAGGATACATATAGAACTATTACCACTTCGATATTCACCTAGGGCTTTGCCCCGTGGGCTTTCAAAAATCTGAGATGAGAGATTTAAAAGTAAATATTGATTGATGGTATCCATGGTAACAAAGAACAAACCTAGTAAGTTTAAAAATGTAAACAAGCAGAACTAACTGTCAAATTGATTTTGATTTCACAATTCAACACAGCTGGTTCAAACCTTATTAAATACTGCACGAATATTAGAACAGAGAGGGTAAGGATTATAAATTTAAAATAATGATGTCACTAGCCTGAATGTAAACATTATTTAACATTACCTAAAGGAGCTGTCAAACCATATTATGTTAATGTAACATAGGATTGTTTCAGTTACAGTACTTCATTTTTCTTCATGATCTAACTATACTGAGTCTGTTATAATATTTGTGAAATGTTGTAATAATATTTATTTATTTTTATAATAATTCATTGTAAAAGAAATCATTCGATGGATATAGGAAATAATCAACATTCTATATTGCCTTATCAACCTAGACCCTTATCATCCTGAGTTATGAGGTATATTCTTTTGATTTATTTGTTTGTAAACAGTAATATAATCCCCTGCCCCAGCAAACCTATAGACTGAGCGAATTCCCGTTTGCCTGATTATAATTTCACTAAAATATGTTAGAAAATTGCCCTGTTAACATGTTTGGAACTATTGTGATAGGTTTTGGTTTACAGTGCAAACCATTAAACACATTCTTTTATTATAGGTATATGTGTGCTACACTATAGGATACCGTATAAATTACAAGACCATATTTTCTTAAACCGTTTCCTCTCCCATCACTGCAATGATAATTTTCTACTTATATGCCAACCCCGTACGAAGGACGGGTATTCTACTAGTATATATATATATATGTGTCCGTCAGCACGATAACTCGAGCAAAAATGATCCGATTTTGATGAAATTTGGTACAAACGTGTAAACGTACGTTTATTCGAACGAGTTCGCGATCCAGCATGATCGGATCATGGGAACGGGGGTTTACGGGGGGTTTTATGGGGTAAAAATAGGTTTTTCCCATTTTTGACCCAAAAAACATAAAATTTAGCAATTTCTTTCCAAACCATTTTGTAGAGCTTAAAAAAACAAATAATTTAGTATATTGAAGCGTTATTATGCGCCTAATGGTTACGGGGAAAATACCAAAAAATTGTACATTTAAAATTCCCATGTTATTCTTATGGAGAATAAGTAAACTGTTGTAGTTTGCTTGTTTGTGAACATATTTTGATCGAATTTGGAAAATGTTTTTATTTCTTACTAACTATTCACATTTTACAAAAAAAAACAAAAAAAAAACAGTTTTACCCTCCCTGATGCAGCAAACCTAAGTACTTGTTAAACTAATTCTATTTAAATCAAGAATAAATGTTATATTTTTAAGTAGACATTTCAGTGTAAATCCAATCAGTCAAATGGAAATTTGCTTAGTCTGCAGGTTTGCTGCGGCGGGGGTATTTTTTCTATAATCATTGACATAGTTTTAGAATAAATAATCAATGATAAAGGTTAGATTAAAATAAACCTACCTCATAGTTATGGAAAATATTATATTTAATTTCTTTGTATCAGCTGTCTGAAATTGTGAAATATGCAGTTAAGCAGTTCTTCTTGTTTACATTTAAATGTCAAAGCAAATGTATACAAACATTGTTAGTGTTCTCATCACAGCCATGGAGACCAATCAATATTTACTTTTAAAATGTTCACCTCAGAACTTTTAAAGCCAAAGGGGCAAAGCCTACGGTCAGTATCGAAATGTGAATAGTCCTATAATGGTCCTTGGTATGGTAGCTATATTTTTGTATAATTTAAGCCCAGTTGGTTCAGTAGCTTTTGCACCTATTAGTAATACACATACAGACAGACACCATTAGATTTTTATATAATAGTATAGATAGATTAAAATGAGGTGTGATTATTTGTTTGTATTACTGTATTCTGTTTTGTTTATTTCAGCTTAACTTAACCAATCAATAGTTTTATTAATACTTAGGTTGAAGTAAAATGGGGTGAAGCCCGTGGGTAACAGCTAGTATATTTAATTACGTAAGCGAATCGGCCCCCACAAAATATCTCGAGCTAGGAAAAAGGCCGTTGAGGATTCATTTGAAAGCTTAAAGGTCCAAGGCCGGTGGGGAAAATATCAGAAGTGTCAAAAACTACCCCTGCTCTGCCCCACAGGCCGTCAAAGATCCAGTCTTTTTCTAATGGAAGTACTGCTACAGAGTTTCTATAAGCGGTTTTAAATATACCTAGTATGGAACACAGCATTGACGTCAAGCAGTTAATTGCAAACATGTACGTTATTAAATGGTATGACACATATCAAACGGTTCTAGCAATAACATGGTTACATCAAAATATTTTCTTGTACAGTTAACATGGACAACTTTACCTGTAAAAAATCATTGCCTGAATAGGATTGTCATTGATATTAAATAAATATGTTTTTATTTCTTATTATACTTTTTGTAGATATATCATTCTCCATTTTTATTTGGTTAAACACAGATAAAGTCTATTAGAGAGTTTTACCCGGTCGATTCAAGATGGCGGCTAAACATGTTAATGTTTCTGAACATGCCTCTATGGTACAAGTTCTCAAAATTCTATAACTAATTTGTTTCCAATGATTGTGTGCTTGTAGTTTATATTTGTTTATATACTATTATTAATGAAAGAGGGGGTTCACTCTCAAACATTTTATTTGTGTAAACAGTTTAATGTGATACTAGAATGTTTGTAATGGTTTATTATTTATTTATTTAATATAAGTCACAGCCTAACTGTAGTTGTTACCCACGGGCTTCACCCCTTTTGACTTCAAAAGTATTAATAAAACTATTGATTGGTTAAGTTAAGCTGAAATAAACAAAACAGAATACAGTAATACAAACAAATAATTACACTTGATATTATTAAGGTAGTAAATTGAAAGAATAACAAACAAATAATAAGTACAGCTGAGGTATTTTATTTTTACATTAGTTATATGGAAAATTCCCTTTAGAAAGGAATTATGACCTTAAAGGGCAATTTATGCAATAATTGATAGTTTTGCGCAAAGTTTCTCGTCGTGGCGAACATTTGAGGTGTATGGATTATGGTGGTGTGACTCAAAAGTTCATGGGTACTTTAGGATTTGTATATGGATTTATTTGTAAACATTTTAGTTCCAAAAGTCTGACATTGGACCCCTTAAAACCCTCTGGGGCGGAGCCCTTTTGACGGATCTGCACTAAACTTCACACAAACCATCCTTGCATAATGGTTTTAATGCATGAAAGTCTCATTACAATCTGTCAAGCGGTTTCAGAGTCTATAGGGTATATACATACATACTTCCTCTTTTATAGCTGTAGATTGCAATTAAAATCAAAATTTCAAAAATATGAACGGAAAGTAAATAAAAGGTAAGTCTTATATCACTTAAAATTATGTATTTACAATTGGACTCCAATCGAAATCGATCACCACTTAACTTACCATCTTTTTTGTATATTTACCGTCTTGTGAGTAACAGTATAAGCGTAAATACATGTTTTTAAGTGATATAAGACTTACCTTTTATTTACTTTCCGTAAATTTAATAACACGTACAATGCTGATCAAGAAGTTATATAAAAACATGAACAAATTCCTTGATATGCCATAGTAGTACCCGCATACCAAATTTCATCAAAATAGATCCAAAGGTGTGGCCTGTATCTCTATAAACACCCACACACAGGCGCCCATTTCAAAACCCGACACTTTTTTAGATTCAGGGGGGCCCAAATATGGATATTTCCAACCAAAACTCAATCTAAAAAATCGAAAATGTTAACAAAAACAATACTTTCTCCTTCAATGTTTAATGGGAGAAAGTAAAAATTGTACTTAAAAACAACACTATTGTGCTATTGAATTGAATCAGATGGTATTACCTGTTACCTTGGCCCTTTTTAATACAATAACTGTAGAACTACTGCTCCATTTACAAATATAAAGCTTTGAAGATGGCCATCAGTGTGACAGAATGGTTGCTACCCCATGTTATTGATGACACAATTTTCAGTCTAGAAGACAAAATAAGCTTAAATGTCCTGAAAGCTTTACGATTATTTTATCCCACATTAATCTTGCCTATATACCTATCAAAAACTAATTTGTTCTAGATCACCCGATCCTTCAAACGTTGGAGCTGAGAACATGGGATAAGTCTGCGCAGGAGTTTGTCAAAAAGCAGAAACAACGGATCGCGACGTCCTAGTCCACCCCATGTGCCTTGTGGCTTTACTTCCTTCTAGTGTAAGTATTTACTGTGTCATCATTCCAAAATCATTATCATTTTATTGCTATAACTATGGCATTGTCCAATTATCATTATAAAAATTAAAAATTAAATAATAGTACAAGTCTTAGTGTGGATTTTTTAACTATTTTTTTCTATTTTTTTTATATATTACACGCAACATTTGATTTATTGCTAAAATTGCTCAATTACTTTACTGTCTTTAGAGATACCATTTTGACTTGAGTAAAAAAAAAACTTCACAATGTAATTTGTCAGCAGTCAATTAAACACATCTCCATAAACTTTTACTCCAAAATACCTTTCTGAATTGCTATATTGCTGATTTGTTGAGTGGCCTACCTAGAAAATAGAAGGCTGTCAGTTTGGTCTAGAGATTAGATTAGTCACTAGTCAGTATCTTTTTGATTGGTTCAAACTAAATTCAAGTATCCTTGATGTTTAATAAAATGACCCTGGCTGAAAATCAGCTGGTCTTAATCATTAACAAAGCTACCCAATGTGTCTACATTCATTTAACATTCATCTTAGCTAAGCACACTCTGTTGAGTCCCCATTCTAATTTATAAATTGGTGTAAATACCTGCTTCAATGTAATCCAAAATATTGCAAGTGCTGCAGCTAGTTTCAACTTTGAAGAAGTCATCTTCAGATACACACATTGAAACGATTAATGTTTTATTTTATTTTAATCGTTTCAATGTTTGTGTTTGTGTGTCTCTGTACTATATGTGAACCAACGTCCTTTTGAAGAATTGATCATGACATAGATGACTTCTTGAAAAGAGAAACTAGTTGCGCCATTAACAAAACTTTGGATTATATTGAAGCAGGTATTTACACCAATTCATATATTCAAAGCGATTCCGGAGGATAACATAAAAATGACCATTAATGGTATGGTTAAATCCTCATAATTTGCACTTCCTACTTGTAATATCACATCACAGACAACCGATGAAATTTGACTCTTAGGAGATATTCACTAAAAAAATCTAAAATATGTGATCTTTTTCAGGCTGACTATGCACAAATATATCTTCAAACCTTCACTGTCTTCACGATGTCTCATCGAATCTCGATTGAAGAAAAATGCTGTCCATGATACAATAATTATGTACATGACTTTGTCTTGTGTGTTGACGATGTGTTGTCGATGTAAAGATGTGAGCGGAGTTCTCCGAGGTATAAACCGGATTTTATAATCCACATATTGATGTCTTAATGGCCTTGTAGCTTTTTATAGTGCTACTGAAGTGCTCCAACCTCCAACCTCTCCATTCCTGTCAAGGGTGTTCAGATAATAAGGTAACGTTCATGTTCGTACGATCTCAAACTGTGTTTTGCTTTTGTACTTTACCTTTACGAAAGTGTCGACCATATTTTATTATTTATTAGATTATACAGTTCACATTTTTTTGTCTGTTTAAGGATTTTCTAAACTAAAAGTCCTTTGTGGAATTTAGGTTTATGTTTTTGTTTTGTATGATCAATTTTATTTACATATTTTTTTTTAGTGTTGCATATACTTGGTCTTTTTAAACTATACATGCTTAGTATAATTTAGTATTAAATTCAAGGGTTCCAATTTTGTGGCCAAATGGTTCTTTTTGTACAACAAACGTATTCAAAATTTTGGACAAAGAATATTGACTAAAACAATTACATTTCATGAAAAAGTATTACTTTCAACTTTTAGTTTCATAAAAATTGTAAGCGTACAGCAATCACAATCTATAAATTATGTGAACCAAATAGTAGTGCACATGAAAATAATAAAAGTAAAATGGAATTATAGATTTAGATGTTCTCTCATCTACAGGAATGTATTTAATTCTTCAATAAATAAATACAAACACATATTTTCAAGTTTAACGATGTATAAATCAATTTCAATTTCTCTTCTTCATGCACCTTTTTCCTTAACACGTTTGCTACTGCAATAGTACTAAATTTTTTATTCGTGTGGACCAGCGATGCACATATGCGTTGGCCGGTATTTACCAATAGACTGCTGTTGCATATATGCGACAACTGATCACATTAAAATAGACTGATGTCGCATATTTGCGTCGGTGTCCAATGTTGTTAAAAAGCTTATATCTTTGTAACGGTCTATTTGAAGGTACTGAATTCTTTGCAGCGGTCTACAGGGATGTCTGTCGCATATGCGCGTCACTTGGTCTGTGGATATGAGGATTAGTTGCTTCATATGATAGTTGGCAAAAGGCAAAACAGATTTTTACTTTGCTGCATTGCTCTGCATGTACTGTTAACCAAGTGACACCTGGTCTATGTGGAATATTAAAATGTATACCTCGGGCCGTGGCAATGACTTTAGTGTCGCAAATATGTGGCGATCGGTAGCGAACGTGTTAATAATCTGTTTTCTACTCTCCCACTTGCACTTTGTTGTGCAAAATAATAAAAAAAAAACTGTTCTATTTCCAGATTTGTTCTAGATACTCTTTTAAATCGCTTTTGCCAAGCACTACAATAAAATAAGCTGAATATTTTTTAATGATTGTCACAAAAAGCATTTTGTTTTCCTTTAATTAATCTCTTAGGAGGGAACATATTGTATTGTCCTATTGTACTTCTTATTGTATTCCTTGAAAATAAATTCCGGTAATTTCTAAAACCATTTTCTTTTAGTTGAATGTTAACATTTAAAACCTTTTGTATCACCTTAACGGCCACAGTGTATTCTCTTACTGTATATAAACCTGCTTCAGCTATTTGATGATATTTTTTATACAATAGTCGTTGTGTATATGTGGACCATAAGAACTCAAAATATTGTCAATTTATACAAACTATCTACAATTATTGTATATAGTAATATATGATATTCATAGCTAATAACAGGGTTGGAAAACATTGTGTTTCAACTATTTTTTTTTTTTAACTTCTGGCTGATTGCAACATTTGCATTGTTACTGGTATAATCCCATTGTTAGGTAATGATTCATATGCCTTTTGCACCTTCGTTTACATAAGTATATACCAAGAAGCATATTTTCATGTCATATAGGCCTAGTTGTATGTCAAAAATAACTCATTTTATTGCTGATTTAAAAAATTCATTTTAAGGTTAATTTATACATTTTACAATTTTGGAAAATTTCCTAGCTTTTACTAGTGTCAGCTAACTTAGTGTGTATTTAAAATATTTTTTTACAATTGACTATAAAAATAAATATCTTCATATATCAATTAAAATAAATTCCGCAAAGAAATTTTAATGTTTGGAACTAATTGTATGATATTAAAACCCCAGACCATTTTATCAGTTAAACTTTTCAAGTGTGAAAGCTACAGTAGTCGGTTATGTTATCATTACGAATTCTGCAACGTTGATTAAAATTAAATGTATAAATAAAATGATATTAAGTAAATTTATTTGTGACATCACAGAGAAGTAAGCTACTAAAGAAACTTGCTTATAGAACGACTGTGCGCTTTTAGCTCTAGAAGGTTGGGCCAGAAATATACTTGTCACAACCAAGGAAGAGCCTGATAGTGGAGCACTGTTAACTCTATTCCTATCACGCAGGGCACGGGGTCTTCCACCACCGTGAGCGTTGTAGTACATAAAGGCAAGGGATCGATGTTGGAATTTGCCATAGAAGAAAAACTCAAGGGTAAGTGTACCCTTGAGTTTTTCTTCTCTACCTGACTTTTCTGTGGGGAGGTCTAGCTGTTCGTAGACTATAAATTAAAATTTTGTTTTATTTCGAACAATTTTGGATTACAGTACTAATTAAGCGACTGTGTTTATACTTAAGACATATTCTAAAACAGAGACACAAATTAATTTTTATGGCTATAATAGTAAAATTGTTCTGTCAATTTTAAGCAAAAACTGTCATTATGTTATGAGAAACGTTGTAGGGTAATTTCTATATTTTTTGTGCATTCTTTTTTAAAGAATTCCCCAACCCCTAGATACATTTATTCAAAGTCATTATTATACCAAGTTAGTCCAATTTATGTGCCAAAAAGAGTCGATAGATGAGTCTTATCATAAGCTGTAATTTTTCTAATTTATTTCCCAAAAAAAAATTTCTCTTAGGTAAATGTTAATGAAAATCATTGTTTTACTTCTGACTTTGCTATGGAAAATAAACTTTTTAAATTTAACAAATGTCATTTATTCTGAGGATGTGAAATGTGATATTATATAACTCTACTACAATATACCAAAACAATTATTCTTTGCTATAATTGTGTATCTAACCTTATATGGCTTGTAGACAACTTTTCACTATAACAAAAGATTAATATCTATTGTGGGTCTAACATTTTACGTTTTCTTTTTTGTATAAGTAAGTTATTTTGTTATTTTTGTGAATCAAAAACACTTATTGCCTTTTCAATCACAGGGGCTTAAAATGAATATGTTAATTAAAGCCTAATACTGTATTAGTATGGTACTGAAGCTGCAAAATAATATAAAATGGACTTTAATGGCACTAATTTTAATATCTACCCATCATGGTTTGTTATTGCTTGCTCATGTAATTTTAATGTTCCTTTGACATGGTAACAATAGTTTGTTATTAGTTAGTTTGTTAGCTTGCATTCAGATATATATGTGGTTGTTTAAAATAACATATTTTTGTATTGATATTTGGTTTGCCAGAAGGCAGTTTGAAGGCTTGCCTAAAATGTACAATCAAATTGTAATGTGCTAACCATTGGCTATATCGTTGTATTTTTTATTGCATGTAAATAAAGATGAAAATATTTTAAACGTGTACGAGTACAATAATTATATTTTAATTGTAACCTCAAACATTGTGTTTTGGATTTCATACCACCCTATGGATACTGTAGATAAATATATACCTATTTTAGCAAAAAATATCTTAAATCATAAAAGGAAAAATAATAACCTGTCTGCCATAGTTACTCAAATTAACTGATCTACAGTCTTGTTGCTTTTTCAAATATTATGTAAAAACATATTAAATGTTAATTCAAATAAGTATTTCTTATACTGCTGCAAAACTGCTGTTTTCAATACACACAGTGTGATGCTAAGGTATCATTTTTGGTCCTTCAGCAAAATAAAACAACCCTACTGTTGTTAACAACTAGTTCATTATTTGTAATTAGTACAAATAATGTGATGTGTCTGCAATATTATGTTCAATTAATGACGTCAAAATAGTATCTATATTTCACTACTAGTCCCAAAAGTGGCCAATTTTGGAGCAAGATGGTTTACGAGCGAGGCGAAGACTAGCACAGAAAGAGAAAACATCTAAATCTTTTGAGCCCCGTAATAGTATATTACGTTACAAGTCCTGAATATAAGTTTTTGCCGGACGAGTGTGGTCGTTCCCGTGCAAAACGAAGTCGAGTATGGGATTACCATACGAGTCCGGTAAACACATTTTGGACGAGTGGCGTACGATAGTTTACGCCATACTACTAAATCTGTACAAATCCTTATATATTACCATACCACCAACTAAAGGACTAAAAATCACCAGACATAACCTCTAAGAGAGGTTATATTTTTGTTTATAACCACTCATTGCCACCCAAATACAGTATACTTATTTCGTACTTATTATCAGTACAGCTGAATGGTTTACGCCACACTACATTATTTTGACGAACTTCCCACCCAAGGATTTAGTCCAGAAAATAGCTGTTTGTCGCCAGCTTATTCAAATGGGGTTTCATTGCATACTACTGTACTGTAATGAGTTTTACTGGACACCTATCAGCTGATTATACTGTATTTAGGTGGCAATGAGTGGTTATAAACAAAAACATAACCTCTCTTAGAGGTTACGACTAGTGATTTTTAGTCCTTTGGTTGGTGGAACTGGAAATATATAACGATTTGTACGGATTTAGTAGTAGGCAATGGTGTAAACTATCGTACGCAACTCGTATGGTAATCCCACACTCGTCCGGTAAACCTTTTTTTTCAGGACTAGTAATGTACTGTAATATACTATTCTAGTTCTTTTGATTTTAAATGTGAGAAATAACTGCCTTAATATTTACATTAAAGAATCTTTTATTCTCCCTTACATCCAGAAATGTTCTTTAGGGCTGGTTCTCACAAATAATGTTATAAATATCGGAGCATGGTCGGTCGTTGAGGAAAATTTGGCGACGTCCCTCAAATTTTTTTGCCTCTACACAGTTCTCATTATTTTTGAAATTATCAGGTTGGTTATGCTGCCAACCGAAAGAACCAATTTCCTTATTGAGACCTGCCCATTCGAATATCTTCTTTTTATTTTCATCTCGTTTGAACGAGGTGCCAGCTGTCCACGAACTGGTGAACTCGGAGCCTAAAAAAGATTTGATTTTAGTGTGAAGAAGTATACAAGTTTCTCCAATTACTTTTTAGTAAATCATTCATCTTTATTAGTATAAGTGTGAAAAATTGCACATTTCCTGAACGCAACTTAATTGTATATTGAGAAAACGTAATCTCGTATCCTATTTTTCTAATCAATCATGTCATATGAATGAGATTATTAAACGGTCAGAGATTTGGCTATCTAAGATTAAGTAAATGATTTTACTGGAACTTTACATGCTTATTATTACTGTACATGGACAAAGATTATTTAGTGGCTAAGTTTTGGAGGTAGAGCCAAGGTGCCATTCTTCAATAAAATGGTAATTAGTAACAAGACCAGAATTTTTACTACATCCTCAAAAAAAAGTTTGACACACTCCAAAAAAATCATCAATGCAAATTTATTTTTAGGTATTTTATTCATTAGACTTACTCACTATAATAATTGTTGTAAAGTGCTTTGATAGTCGCTTAACAGAAAAAATAAAATAAAAACTATTATAAAAGAAACCCACCTATTGCTTGTCTGATAACTAATGATTTTAGTTCAGAACTTTTGAAATATACTAATCTGAACACTTTCATTTCGTAAGAGCAACTTTCTCCAAATAATTTACAAATATATATTTTATGTTTTAATTTATAGTCTGATTTTTACCGGAGTGCGGCTGAAGCTCAGCCCTACCTGCGAGGGACCCGACTCACGCACGCACACTCACCACCGTCCTAATTGCCTGAAAGCCCCGATCCCCTATTCACTAAGTAGGAATATAACATCTGTTGTATGATACCTCAAAATTGCAATTCATTTGATGTTAGATTTACAGTAAAATGGTTAGTGTTAGTAAATTTGTTGTTTAATTCAATGAAAAATGAGTCCAAACACGAAATGATTATGACAAGGAGCTAGCTAATAAAAACGTGTAAAATTTTCGTAGCTTTTACACTTTGTAAGCAAAATATGTATTGTTTGGTATCATTTTACTAAGCATTTTGAGCTGAAGTCAAAAGCGTTACCAGATTTTATAACAAACGTAAAATTAAAAAAAATTGATAGTTTAATTTCCGTGAGCCACCGATGACTCGAGTGGCAGGACAATGGTCCGTCCCACGTCCGTCCTAATCCCTTGCGTCTGTGTGTGTGAGGCCTGCGTGTGTGTGAGTAGGGTCGACCCTTCAGCCAGCCGCTTTCCGTCAGCAATCACACTGGGGACACCGAAACTGCCACGACGTTTTACGATCATGCTCCATACTGAAACTGCCACGGCAATTAGTGAGGATTATAAGGGTGTTTTTGAGAGGGCTAGGAACACTGAAACTGCCACGGCGGATTCCCCAGATAGACGGGGAGAAACGGGAGACTCAAAATTCCCATTTCTGTCTTAACCTTTTCTTTCACAATAATACGTTGATAGGAAAAATAAGTGATTGATTTGCCCTTTCGTATTTATATTTTAGGAGTTATTTTACGTTAATTTAAGTTTTTAGTTTTGCGACTGTTAGAGTATTTACTTTATAAGTATTTATTCCGTCTCTTGAGAGTATATTTGCTTTAATGAAAGACCACCTTCGATTCAAGAGAAAAATTAAGTCCTTGTTGCTTTCCAAATGCTGCTACAGCGTCCGTGAATTTCTGGCTGGCGGTTAAAGATTTATTTTCCTTTAATTTTATTTATTGTATAAGGGTATGCATTTTAAGTTGCTGATTTGTATTCAGTATATTGTATTGAATTATATTGACATAGCTAATGCAAATTGTATTTGTTAATTTGGCAAATAAATGACTTATTGACTTATTGACTTATGAATAATTATTTACCACTAAGAAACAAGTTTTATGTTTCATTTACCACTTTTATAACACTGCATTTTATATGATCTGTTCGACGCTTTTAATTACACGAGAGGTGATCAAATACTAATATAATACTGTAAAACTGTAATATTCAAAAATAGTTTTATTCGCCCAAGACGCTAGGTTGCAGAACTACAAATACTGTACCCAACCTCCATGGTCTGCAGAGGGCCGTTCACGTGGAATCTCAGTGGAATGCCCTCCTATTAGCTTGACTCATGTAAATATTTTTCAAATTCCGTATTTCTCAACAGTTTTGTGCCATCCTTCAGAGAGTTAGTAGTAAGGGTGTTGGTGTGTTAGTTATACTTAGTTGATAGTCTTTCGATTGAGGATAAGATATTTGAAACGAAGAGAAAGGGCGCGGCGTTGTTAGTACACGGCAACCGTTTTGTTATACAAAGTGTGGTGTTAATAAGTGGTTTTGCTAGAGAAAAATCGGGGAGGATGTGGAGCAAAATGCTTCACATATTATATATATATAACAACGAGTAACAGTAACTGAAACGATTTTAACGCGTACCATTCTTCAGTCACTGTAGTGGGTTGAGTTTAGATAGATACCTCTAGCTTTTGTCGATATTCTTTCTTCGATATATATTTCTTCGACTAATGGCCTATTAATATGAGGTGTCACTCGATGGGGCCACCAAAATAGCCCATTTTTGGTTTAAGAACAAAATTTGAATACAACAAAAAGTTCACTTGCGTGATATAGAGACGTGTACAGAGTTTTGTTTTCTTGGCGTAACCCGTTAAAATGTTAACTGGTGAGGTCCATACTTTTGCCCAGCCCTGTATATGTGAATAAACGAAATTTATAATTGAGGTATATTACTAAATAAATATGCAAAAACATACACCGAGTCTCATTTCATTCTAATTAAACATGAGAAAATGGGAAACAAATTCGTGTTGATTTCCCACCAGGCGTAACATCCGTGACAATTTTCTGTGATCATAGAAACGACCGAGATTATTACTTGCGATCACGGAAACGCCTAAAAATGAAGAATCGGCGTAAGAAACTTAAACGAACATCCGTGATCGTATGTTACGATCGTGGCCAAATCCGTGATAATTTCTAATTTCTAGCGATCAAACGTAGAAATAACTGTGATGGTAAACTACGACAGCAATGATGATGACCGGTGATGATTTCACAATTGCGGCAACATTCGCATTCATCTCCAGCGATTATTTTAACACCCGTAACTATTTTTCGCGATCGACGAAAAATTAATGATCATCTTGCACTTGCGGCTTAGTGTGTGATGATTTATCGATATTGCGCTAATATTCGTGGTAATTTCTACAGTAGTTTCTCGCAATGGCGTTTTTCGATTACGCAAAACGTGTAAGCTTTGTGTTTTAGGGTGGATTTTACGGCAAATATTTGACCATTTTTATTTCCCGGTGTCTTACTAAATTCAATTACAACTCATGGACTTTTTCCTGATACTTAAAATTCACGTGCTATTCCCGGTTGCTAGGTTGGCAGAATTAGGCGACCCTGAATTATCACTACAAGTAGCCTAGGCTATTAGGATTTATTTTTTATCAACCGTATCTAAAATGTATACTTATCAATTTTGAAGTT